TCTCTGAGGATCTCTCAGAATCTCTCAGATTCTCTCGGAAACTCTCAGAATCTCTCTAAATCTTTCAAAATCTATCAGAATCTCGCAGAATCCCTCGGGATCTCTCAGAATCTCTCAGAATCTCGCAGAATCTCTCAGAGTCTCTCAGAATCTCTCAAAATCTCTCAGAATCTCTCCGAGGCTCGCAGTGGCTCTCAGAAACATGCAGAACCTTGGAGCTTTTCAGAGGCTCCAAAGTGGTTGGGATCTCACGCGTCCCACGTGTCCTTGACGGTTGGGATCTGAACCGTCCGGTTGGGATCTCACGCGTCCGGTTGGGATCTGAACCTTTCTCGTGTCCTGCTTCGCGCCCGGCCAACCCCACCCTGCACACTGCGGCCGCCAGACCCCAAATTGTCCCGATGATCCCCGAGTCCTGGGTGGTTTGCCTCGCGCCCTCGACGAACACGACAGAACACAACATGACAAAACGAAACAGAACATGACAGGACATGACAACACAAAACATATCAATGTCATGAGAAACTAGAGCATACGTTACATAACATCACAGAACATACCAAACATAACATGCCAGTACAAACTATTAACTAACACAACGCAGCAGAACATAACCGAGCATAACAAAGCACACCTTGACATAACGAATCATATCATCACACAGCATCGAAGCACAACATAAGACGACAGCAGAGCATAGCGACGGCGAGCACGACAGAACACAACAGGCCAAAACACGACCATGACAGACCATGGCAGAACAACATAGCCATTTCATGACACAGTCGAGCACAACATGACATCAACGAACTTAACAAATCAGAAGATGACAGAACAGAAGACGACAACACACAACATAACATAATATGATCGATCACAACATAACACGATACACCTTGACGGAACATATCATAGCATGAAATAACACAACCTAACATATCATAACAAGACAGGCGAGCATAGCGACGACGAGCAAGACATGACACAACAAAACCTGACATAACGGAACACGAGCATGACAGAACACGACAGAACATAACATAGCATGGCCATGACAGAATAGAGCACAACATAACATCACAGGACATACCAGGGCGAAACATGACAGGACATAACACAACATAGCATAAGAGAGCCGCGCATACTATAACACACCTTGACAGAACACATCCCATCAAAACACACCATCACATAACATTTCATGACACGGCAGCAGAGCATAGCGACACGTATTAACAGAACATATCGTAATATACGATACCGAGCCGGGCCTTCAACTAACACAACAACATACAACACACAAGGGCAGACCATGTTAGAAAACGAGACGGCATACCATGACACAACATAGCAGCACCAAGTAACACATAACACCCCTTGACAGCACCTATCATAGCATGACACAACATCGAATCACCTAACATAAACAGCAAGGCGTGTCGACAACGAACACAACATAACACAATATGACACAACATAACATGACATAACGGAACTCGAGCATGACATACCATGACATAACATAACATAACAATGCCATGACACAGTAGAGCATAGCATAACATCACATACATATCATGGCAAAACATGCCAGGAGACAAGACGGCACACCACGAAATAATACACCAGAGCCGAGCTTAACACACACACACACTTGAAATAACATTGCATATCATGACACAGCAACAAAGAACACGTCATGTCACGACAACAGAGCATAGCGACACAGAGTAGCAACGCAACTCACATTATACGATAGAAGGCCGAGTCGTCAACAAACATAACATCACATGACATACCAGGGCAAAACAAAACATAACATAAGACATAATAACACAACACAACATAACCGAGCATACTATTACACCCTGACGCTTGACAGAACGTATCAGATCACAGCATGACAGCATCACTGAACATATCATAACTCGACAGCAATGCTGGAGCGCGGACCTGCTGGGCCGGCTGGGAAAACTGCTGCTGGGGGCACCTCGGGAATCGCCCCTCGGCTCCCCCAGTGCGGGGGGGAGGGCAGGGGGCCCGCCTGGGCCCCCAGCCCCGCCCCGTCGCCTCGGGTGGGCGAGGCCCTCGTGGGCCGCCGTCTTCCCTGTCTGGCGGCGTGCCATCTCGGAAAGATGACCTCTCCTTTGCCTGAGGGGTCCCGACTCCTTCCCCAGGGGGGGTGGGTCGTCCCAGATCTCCGCTTCTGATGGTTTCAGGGCCCGACGACGGGCCCCAGAGACCGAGCTGGAGGAGGAACGCCCGGACTCTTCCTCCTCCTCCTCCTGGCTCGTAGCTGGGGGCGCTCGAGTTCGTCTCACTGGCCTGCCTGGCGCATTCTGCCGAGGCTAGCCTTGACCTGCGGCAGCAGACTCTCAGACTCCTCCTCGGTTCTTCCTCCTCCTTCTCCTCCTCCTCCTGGACTGGAAATGCAGATCGTCGGGTGCGGCTTCCTTCTCGGAGGCCAGCGTCCGGGCGGCGTGCCATCTCGGGTCCGTCGTGTCCCTCGTCGCCGACGCGCCCGCGGGCAGGCGCTCGGCGCCGCCGAGCGCAGCTTCGCGGCTCGGGGGCATGTCGCCTCCCACCGCGCAGCCTGCTCCCTCCTCCTCCTCCCTCCTCCTCTTCCTCCTCCTCCTCCTCCTCCTCCTCCTCCTCCTCTTCCTCTTCCTCTTCCTCTTCCTCCCTCCCTCCCTCCCTCCTTTCTCCTCCCTCCTCCCTCCTCGTTCGCCTCGTCCTCCTGCTTCGTCTTCATCTTCCTCCTCCTCCTCCTCCTGCTCATGTTCCTCTTCCTCCTGCTGCTGCTCCTGCTCCTGCTCCTCCTCCTCCCTCCCTCCTCCTCCTCCTCCTCCCTCCTCCCTCCTCCTCCTCCTCCTCCTCCTCTCTCCCTCCTCCTCCTCCTCCTCCTCCTCCTCCTCCTCCTCTTCCTCTTCCTCTTCCTCTTCCTCTTCCTCCCTCCCTCCCTCCCTCCTTTCTCCTCCCTCCTCCCTCCTCGTTCGCCTCGTCCTCCTGCTTCTTCTCCATCTTCCTCCTCCTCCTCCTCCTCCTCCTCCTTTTGCTCTTCCTCCTTCTGCTCCTGCTCCTCCTCCACCTCCTCCTCCTCTTCCTCCTCCTCCTCCTCCTCCTCCTCCTTCTCTCCGTCCTCATCATATTGTTATTGCTCATACTCGTAAAATTATACATAGCATCATGCATAGCCTGCGCACTCGGACAATTATACATAGTCCTCTTCTTCATCGTATCCGTATTGCTATCAGTAGTATTCTTCTCTGTAGTAGTACTATTATCCATGCTCGTATTAAACATACATGTCTTATTGTTATTCGTATGCTTAGTCTCCCCCCTCCTCCTCCTCCTCCAACTTCCTCCTCGTCCCTCCTCCCTCCTCCTTCCTGCTCTCCTCCTTCTCCTCCTCCTCCACCCTCCTCCTCCTCCTCCTCCTTCTCCTCCTCCTTCTCTTCCTCCTCCTCCTCCTCCTGCCTCGTCGTCCCTCCTCCTCCATCGTTTTCCATCGCCCTCCCTCCTCCTCGTCCTCCTCCTCATCATCCTCGTCTTCTTCCCCTCCTCATCCTCCTCCTCCTGCTCATGTTCCTCCTCCTCGTTTGCCTCGTCTTATTGTCAGTCGTGTTATAATCCCGTGCATTCGTATGATTCGTCTTCTTAGCCTTCGTAGTAGTGAGTATATCCATATTCGTATCATTGAGACCGTTCTAGTCCTTACTCATATTACTATCACTTGTAGTACTAGTATGGAAAGCATTACTAGTGATAGTAATGATAAAATTGTAATAATGACTAGTAGCACCCGTAGTTGCAATCCGTGTATGATTACGATTCCTAATATGATAAGCATGCTGCTTGGTATCCGCAGTATTACCATTAGTCGTATTGAAGGCGTTGTTGCTCTTATTGGGATCCTTACTCGTATGCGTATTCATCGCAATATCTACAGCATGTCTATTACGAGTACTACTAGTATTTCTACGTTTAAGTATTGATGGTTGCGTTCGTATTCGTATGCTTGTAAAAAATTAACACTCATATCGCTGCTACTAATATGTGTATGCATGGTCTCCTTATGCTTATGAGTAGCAATCGTATTGTTAGTATTATGCGTCTCATTATCAATAATATCCTGTTTATTATTCTGACTCGTATGCGTATTCCTCATCCTCCTCCTCGTCCACACCCTGCTCCTCCTCTTGCTCCAACTCCTGTTTCTGCTCTTGAAGCTGCTGCTGCTCCTGCTGCTGTTCCTCCTCCTGCTCTTCCTGCTCCTCCTGTTCCTCCTGTTCTTCCTGCTCCTCATGTTTTCATCAAGTTCTCATCCTGTTCTCCTCCGGTTCTCCTGCTCCTCCTGTTTTTATTCCTCTTCGTCCTCCTCTTCCCCCTCCTTCTCCCCCTCATCGTCCATCTCGTCCTCCTTGTCCTCCTCGTCCTCCTCGTCCTCCTCGTCCTCCTCCTCCCCCTCCTCGTCCTCCTCCTCATCCTGCTCCTGCTGCTCCTCCTCCTCCTCCTCCTCCTCCTCTTCCTGCTCCTCCTCCTCCTCCTCCTCCATCCTCTCTCCCTCCCTCCCCCCTCCCTCCCCCCTTAACCCCTCCCTCCTTCCTCCCCCCCCTCCCTCCCCTCCCCCTCCCCCCTCCCTCCCGTCCTCTCTCCCTCTCTCCCTCTCGCCCACTCGCCCTCTCTCCCCTGTCTCCCGCTCTCCCGCTCTCCCTCTCTCCTCTCTCCCTCTCTCCCTCTCTCCTCTCTCCCTCTGTCCTCCTCCTCCTCCTCCTCCTCCTCCTCCTCTCCTCCCTCCTCCTCCTCCTCCTCCTCCTCCTCCTCCTCCTCCCTCCCTCCCTCCCTCCTCCTCCTCCTCCTCCCCCCTCCTCCCTCCCTCCCTCCCTCCCTCCCTCCCTCCTCCCTCCTCCTCCGTCCTCCCTCCCTCCCTTCCTCTCTCCCTCCTCCTCCATCCTCCCCCCATCCCTTCCTCCCGTTTCCTCCCTCCCTCCCCCGGGAGCCTCGACCTTCTCGCACGCGGACTGCGCGTTGCTGTACGCGCCCAGCGCGGGCCGCAGCGACGCGGCGAGCGCCCTGAGCTCCGCGCTGCTGGGCTGCGCGTCGCCCCCTCGCGGGGCCGTGGAGGCCGCCCCCTCCTCCTGGGCAGGGGCCCAGCCGACATGGCACTCCCACAGGCCCACCCCGAACCGTTCGTAGAACGACAGACTGTTCTCACAACCGTGGTGTGCGTTACATGCAAGACCGATGTACACCATAAGGCTGACTCAACCAGAGCGAGCTGGTATATAGTTACGCTCTCTACGAACCGCGCGAAAGACCAATATAATCTGTCTTGATCTGCCCGTACAGACAAAACAAATCGGTTCGCCACTCACCCCCGACATCCCCCTCGCCTCTCCACCCGCCCGTCCTCCTGCCCGTCTCTCCCTCTTCTGCCCCCCATCTGCTCCCCCCCATCCCCCATCCCGCCCCCCTTCTCCCCGCCCTCTTCCCTGTCCTCGTTCTGCAGCCGCTGCCTGCTGCAGCTGCTCCGGCTGCGGTTGTGGCTGCTGCTGCTGCTGCTGGTGCTGATCCTCCTCTTCCTCTTTGTTTACGTTGTTCGGACCTGAAGCGTGAGCTTGTGGCGTTTTGCAAAATGATATGCCCCCAACAAACTGCGTGTCCGACTTGGCGAAAGATACCTGTCGGGCGACGCGGAGGAGCGGCAAGTGGATCAACGTAGAGTAGTCGCCCGCAGGTGTAGCTCACCGAAAGCCCGAATACCTCAGTAAACCATCCCCCTTCAAATTTGTCTCCCCACCCATGTATCCGAGATTTGCGTTCTGCAGCACTGAAATACTGCAGGAAAAACGTGGCAGAGGGGCTGCCAAATACACGAAATAAGGATGGACATGGCATGGCTGTGGTTAGATCCGCCACAAGACTAAATGATGCGGCGGTAGAGGTCTGGGCTGCTGTCCCCCCAAAAAAGGCACAACACAATGCAAATCTGGGGCTGCCACCCTTGTGTCAGCAAGACTTTGTGGTGGCGATGATGAGGCCACCTTAGAAGCTGAAGGTGTCAGAAGTAGCGCTGGAGGGGAGGCGTGGGTAACGAGACATGCAGTGGAGGTAAGAGGCGAGGCAGACGGTACGTAGCACGCTGGGTATGCTTAAATCCATCACAAGGCCAAGTGATGCGGCGGTAGCTGCCTGGGCGGCGGTCCCAGCAAAGATGTGCATCGAATGCAATGCTGGGGCGAATGCCCTTGCGTAGGTAAAGCTGCGCGCTGCCGATGCAAGTCTGGGGCTGCTGCCCTTGCTGGGCGAAAGTCACGCAACGCTGGCGACGGCGCTGGGGAGAGGAGGACGCGCGAGTGCGCGCGGGAGGTAACCAAAAGGCTGGCCTGAAAGGCTGGCCTGGAGGCTGGGTGAAGCTGCAGCGCCTGATGTAGCTTGGCATCCCCACCCCTCCCCGTAGGTAACCCGCCTTTCCCGATGTGCAGATGCAAGCTAGCAGCAAAAGGTGACGAGTGATGGCATGTGCAAGTTCTTGGGGTACAGCCCAAGGATTTTCTGTTCACCCCGAACCTCCTCCGGCCCTGGGCCTTCGTGCTTTTCGCATGGTCTTTTCGGGTTGAGCAGGGACCCTGAGTGCCATTGACTATCGTAGCAAGGCTGGCCTAGTAGGCTGGCCTGCGAGCGCCAAGTCTGGCCGCGAGGTGTAAACGAAGAATGGTGGGGCGAAGCTGAGGATGAGCGCGTGGGAAAAAAAACGATCTAAGGGGGGCCGCCCTGCAACGTGGGCCAGGGAGGGCCCGAGAAGGGGGAAGGGGCGGGGGGCGCGTGAACACTCGCAAGAGGGACAAAAAGGCTGGCCTAGTAGGCTGGGCGAAAGCTGCAGCGCTTGAGACAACTTGGCACCCCCAATCCCGCACCGCCCCCCCTTCCACCGCCGCCGCCACGGCGAAGCCTCGCCCGTCCCAAATCCACATTGTGGGTGGGTTTTGAAGAGCGCAATATGTCAGAGGCTGCGCTGGAGGGGCGGCGCACGCAAAGAGACGCGCGGCGGAGACTGGAGGTGTTGCATATGGCGCGAGGCATGCGCGGCTGGGCTTCTGTCGCACAAGACAAATATATATGCAGCGCAATCCTGGGGCCGCTGGCCTTGTCGAAGAAAAGCGGTCCTCCGCCGCGAGACGCGGTGATGCCGCGGTAGCTGTCTGGGCTGCTGTCCAAGAACAAATAAATCTGATGCAATTCTTGGGCCGCTACCCCTGCGCGGGCAAGCGGCGGCGGCGACGGCGCGCAGAGGAGGGGTGGGGGAGAGCGCGAATGACTTGCGCATAAGCAGGCAGCCACGGCGGGGGGATGCGAGAGGGCAGGGGGCGTGAACCACCGAACGAGAAGAACACATATGTGAGGGGCCCTAGGACACACAAATAAATAGACACAAAGAACAGGATTCCAAAGTGTTTCCAATCTTTTCTAGGTTTTTGTCTTCCCCCCACTTCCCACATGTTCCCATATTTTCTGGGGAGTCGACGATTGATTGTGTCTGTGTGTTTTGTCCCTCCTGAGCATGTCCCATGCATCCCATGCCATCCAGGGTATGCGCACGGCATCCGCTGCCCTCAGCAGCCGGCGGGGCAGGGCCCCTGGGGGGGGGGGGCGTGCCCGTGGGCAACTGCGCGGGCAGGTCCGGCGACCGAGGCCCTAACAGGAATGGAGAGGAGGGGAACGAGTGGAAGGGAAGACGGAGGCGACGCCGGGAGTTGAGGGATGAAAAAACGACCCTACCCCGGATTACAAGTGCGTGGTCTGTAAACCTCCTGGGAACCCCCAAAGCCTAGAGCCGCCAGGACGCGGCACATCACGCAGGGTTTACCCTGTCAGCCCACAGGAGTTTCAGCGCACAGCGCCTCGTAAACCAGGGTAGGGGCGTCTCTTGAGGGAGTAGCTCGCGTGAGGTTGGCGGTGCGAAAACCGTGGAGGTGGGGAGAGGACGTCGGCACTTGGTACACTGCGGTGATCGAAGTTGTCGCAGTGGCTGTCGCGAGCGTCGCGGCATGGCCAAGTTTTTAGTCTGTACTGCGCTCTCCATTCTCCTGTCGGGGCGCGGTGAGAGAACCAACATAGTACAAAGAACATTTGAACCGAACTGGTAACCGCGAACCGGCGGCTCCTGCAACCCAGCCGGCAAAACGGGAGCCAAAACGAGGCCGGCTGAAACTGAACTGCCTGAATCGAACCGAACCGCTGGGGCCCTGTCAGGGCCCCAACGACACGGTCCAAGAGAGCTCCGCCAGGGCGCTCGCAGAGGGCCCCAAGGGCCCCCCCCCCTCCCCCCTCCCCCCCCCCCTCCCAGCAAGCCCGGAGGCGGCCCCCCGACGGAAGGCTTCGACGAGCCGTTTTCGGGCCTCCGGACCTGGCCGGGGCCTGGGGCCCCGACCTGAGGTCCGGACCTGGGGCCCGGACCTGGAGCCCTGACCTGAGGTCCGGACCTGAGGTCCTGCCCTGGACTTCTGACCCCCGTGCCCCTCCAGAGAGCTCGAGGGTGGACGAGGGCACTGCGCGCCAACTTTTCGATCCCCCGAACCGGACCGCCCGAAACCGAACAGTCAAGAGGCAAAACCGACCCGGCTCAAACCGAACTGGCGCCGAACCCGAACCGCCACTACCGAACCAGCCCGCGGCCGAACCGACCCGAACCGGCCCCATGGTGATAGTTGCCCGTGCGTCTATTATCATGCGTTCGTGCCATTGTCGCTTATGTGGGCCTGGCGCTGCTTCGGCGTGGGCGGTGCCTTGAATATCAAACTTGTCTGTGCTGGACGTGGCAAGTGTTCGCGTGTCATGCCGTGGCGTAGGTTGCGAAGGTTAGCTTCAGTAAGGCATCGTTGGAATTGTGCTTGATGTAGTCGCAATTGTCGATGCTTTCGAGGAAGCGCGGGCCGTTGATCTCGTGGACGACTGTGCGACCAAGGTGGTTGATGTCGACCCTGGGGGGGTGGCCTTCTCATGGCGGTGGCTAGTGTGATTGGCGGTGCTTCGGTCGGGAATTAATCCTGCCTGGCGGTGCAAGCATGTGGTGTTAACTCTCTGGTGGGTACCTTTTGGAGCCATCTCTGAGCCCTGGCGTCTTCAGTTGGTGGGCAAACAGTTGGGATCCTGAGGTCAGGTGGCGGCTGCCGCACAGCAGCCCTGATGAGGCGTGCCATAGGTACTGTCCTGCTGTTGGCGTTGGCAAGTGGTGCCTTCTGTGTAGGTGTTCGCGATGTTGCCGACTGGTTGTAGGTCGGTGGGTGCTGCGGTGGTCGTCGAGTCGTGGCTGGTGGTTTTGGCGATGGTGCTGGCATCGTCGGGCGCGTGTCTCGCCCGGAAGGTATGCTGGGCATGATAGGTGCGCTGACGTCGTCGCTTGAGCTGGTGCGTATGAGTGCGTGGCGTTGGTCTCGGCGCGGGTTGCGTGCTGCTGGTTGCAAATCTTCTGCAGGGGCGAGGCTGTATCGCATATGCGCACTGGCCAGTCGCATCGCATTCTGTCCTCGTATTTGTTGCATGCGGTGGTTGGCGCCACTGTGGGACTTCCTGGATGGCGCGTGTGGTTTGGTACGACAGGGGCGCGGGGTCGCCTGCGAGTAACAAGCGGAAGCACCGGGCGGCGATGACTACCGCCAGTCTGAACTCTTAGTTCGCGCGGAAATGGTGAGCAAAGGCTGTCGGGTCACTATCGCGTCGGAGCCGCGTGTGTCTGTGCGTGGGTCTGCCTGGTGGAAAGTGGTGGTCGGCTGGCGTTGCGCGCTGAGGTAAGGTCGACATGCTGTGCGTGCACAGTGTCTCTCAATGTGCCCCATGGGTCGCAATGGTCTGTGCTGCTGTCGATGTCAGAGGCGTCGTCAACAGGTGCATTCGCTGCTGCGTGGATGACGTGGCCCCATGGATTCCGAGAGGCAGGTGGGTTCGGTTGCTGACGTGGTGTTGTCTGTGTTGGTGGTGTGGGCTCTTCGGCTGGGGGTGGGGGTGTAGGTTCGCGGCTGCATGCGGTGGCGCCCTGTCTCGTTCGTGCCCCTCTTTTGGTCTGAAGTCGTCGTTTGGACTGCGCTGCGGTGGTGGTGCGAGTCGTAG